TCCTTGCTTTGCCTTTTAAATACAAAAAGAATATATATTATATTAGCTTATATGTAAAATGTGAATATGCAATATATATATATATAAGCGTGTGTACCTTATAACCTAATCTACGAGCTTTATCAGGTCTAGACGGACGAGAAGCTCGGTGTACAACATTTAATTGTCTAATTAAATGTATTAAAATTTGTTTTTTTTTTTTTTTTTATTTCAAAAAAAAAAGTTTTTTTTTTTGTAGAAACATACCAAAAAATTGCGGGATAATTTAATTAATATATATTATATTAATAAAATCAATCATTGGCAAATGAAATATTTATGTTCCAATCCCGCATATATATTTTCTTTTTATTTGAAAAATATATTTCTTTGGAACATAAAGCTTTTATTTCATGCCTAAAAATTGTGTAAGCTAGCTAGCTACCTGTATTCCCAACATCTTACACGTAGTAAGAAGCGAAGAACATCAGACTGTTTCTTTTTATAAAGTTCTTCAAGATACTTGTATGCTTTATTTATATATATATATATAAAATTAAAATTAATTATTAAATAACATCAAAAAAATTATTTTTGATAATTTTTAAAAAATTATACATACCACCCATTGTTAATATATTTATAAGAAAATATATTTTTTTTTTGTAAAAAAAAAAAAAAAATGAATTTTTTTTTTTTAAAAGAAGTTACACGATACATTCGTGTTACAAAACGGTGTCATGATTACTCGAATTCTATTATTAAAATAATTCAAAAATGGAATTACCATATTATAGTATTTTGAGAAGTGAAGAATATGTTCAAAATATATTAAAATATGCTAATTTATTTCAAGAAGATAATGATCTGGACAAGGATTCAGAAGAAAATTTTACAGAATCTTTTAGTGAACTTGATGGTGAAGATCAATTAAGCCTAGAAGATATTTCGAATCTTGATGCACCAGAAATCATTAATGACCTTGATGAAATAGTTATGTATTCTGGTGTAGATATTGCAGATGATGAAGAATTTATAAAAGAAAATTTTGATGAAAACAAAGAAAGCATGTGGGATCCTCAAACTGCAGCTGATATTTTTTCCATTGAAAAGATTAATAATAAG